GTCATCCAGGCCACGTGGAACCTATCCTCCAATGAAACTTCCCTGAGTGGCCATTATGTCCATCTCATTGTTGGCCCAGATGGTCACCTCCACCTTTGGGTTGGGGAAGGTCTTCAATTTAGCCTCTAAAACCTCTGCTGGACTGGTTGATGTCCCTTCATGGTCACCAAACCTGTCTCCCAGAACCTCAGATAGGTCCATCAGAGTGAGGATTCATGCTCAGGGTGCTAGGGTCCCAATTCACACTCTTGAGAGACAGATTGTTCATGGCACTTTATTGAATCTTGCAAGATTCAATACACACAGCTTGGTAGCAAATCACGAATCCTCCCATTGCCCATGAGAACAGTGTTCTTATACAGTTTACAATTATATCTGTGACACTGGAGCAAGCAGTAACTGGGAAACTGAATTCTGTATACAAACATAGCCTAAGTTCATGGACACTGCATGGTTACTAACTCCTGATTGGCTGCTCAAGTTTCGCTTACTACATGACATATGTTTTTTCTGCTTATGCATAGCAAAACTGAATTCATCTGTTGTCTATTAGCCCATCAGAAATGTGTTATCTATTGTAGCTGTACTCCTTTAAGTTCTCATGGTGCGGAGGAGCAATCCATGTATATATGGGCTATTCTCCATATGCCAGCATACATTTCAGGGAATCTGTATAACTGCCTACTCCTGCACCTCCCATTAGTTTTATTATAAAGACCTAGGTGCTACCTGTCAATATCTTAATAAAATTCCAGCTAAGTATTGGCAGTTGATACCTAGCTGGAATTTTATTATCTGTATGGAACTAAGCATTGGAACTTGTTTAAAGCATCAATTATTCTGCATAATATAATAAAGTTGAAGTGTTTTGTTATTCTGTTAAACCTGTTACTGATTGGCTTCCTTCCCCCTGAATCAAGGGGTAGTCATGCTTACCATTAAAGAAACCACTTTTAAATAAACTTGTCCACACTAAGGTCACCTGGACACCCAAGACCCAAATCCAAAAGGGAGATTTTAAAAGGGGGACCAAGGGCAGGGTGAGTGTGGCAGGGTATCAAGGCTAGGAACTGTGGGGACAAACTTGGATAAGGTAATGTCACAGAGGCAGATTGCCTTTACCCCTTGTGAATCTGTGATCTTCACAGTTTAATATCTTGTGTACATCAAGTGGTTATACCAGTTGAATCCATTTCAATTACAGGTTGTAACACACCAAAATATGGACAAGTCAAAAAGTGATGAATGCTTCTGCAAGGCAGTGTTCCATCTCAGCTGTTGAAGATGAAAGTATTCATTTAGAATTCAGATTATTGACAATTTCTAGAAGGCAGTCCTTACGTTGTAGTAGCTATATCAAAGTGGCAGTAGTATGATGTAAGGAAGGGAATGCCTTCAGGTGTCTGATGAACAAGCACAGAAACCTAGGTCTAGACAACCCCAGTTTTCCAAGTTACATAGGTGAAAGCACTCTGACAACCATTCATTATTAATTTTTACAGTTTGGATGAACCACAAACAGAACATCTCTGTGCATGTTTGTAAGTCCTACTCAGTCGAAATCAAGGTCTAGGCAGTAGTGTTTAGCACTTCAGGTTTAGTAAGCCAATCTTCTCTGTAAGAGCCTGTCAAGTTGTGAAGAGACTTTATTATACATCTGCTAGCTCAAGGAAGTAGAGGAGTGGTAAATCTCTGCTTGCCAGATGGCAGAATGTTAGAGACAGCCCAAGGTTACACTGTCACCATGATACCTTTCCATTTGATAAATCATCACCTATGTTCATAAACAAACTGAATGTTATTGCTTACATAAGACCTTGTCCCAGCTCAGCAAGCTTTTAAGTAGGACTGCTATGGATGATCCAGATGATTGTTTAACATAGGGCCTTTGCAGACTGCTAGAAATAGTGCAAATTGAGTC